GGGGCTGAGAAAAGAGGGGAGACTCATGGGATGGTCAATGGGAAGAATTCACTGAATAGAAGGAGACAAGAAAAGAGGAGGCTGGAGAGAGAGGAGGAGGCCGAGAGAGGAGAGGATTTGGACTGAGTCCTGGAGAGCTGGGCCAAAAAGTTGTTATCCATCAAGACAGAGGACATGAAGGGAAGTGCAGAGTTGGAGGAAGAGAATGAACTCCGTTTGAGACAAGCTGATTTTGTGGCATCTCTGGGATGTACAGACAAGGATGAGTGAAGGGCTGGTGGGTGTATGAGGCCCAAGGCTCGGAAGAGTGGCCTGGGTTGTAGGGTTACCTCTGCGTAGGAGGCGGTGTGGGGTGGTGGAAGGCAAGCAGGTTGTGGGCCAGGATTGGAATCCAGTTCTGCCATGAGTTGTGTTGTTTGGGCAAGTCACTAAAGGCTTTCTTGGCCTTAGTTTATAATTTCTAAAGCGATGATAATGGGACTTTCACGTAAGGAGCAAAATACTATGATTGGTTCATAAGTGCTCATTCATTGTTGCTAGTATTCTTATTATCTCCCTTGGAGAACTGTTTTAAGAATTAAAGATAACATGTGTACAGTGTCCGGTACTCAATAAATGACATCTATTATTTTCATGAAGGTGTTACCGCAATAGCGCAGATTGGAGCCACCTGCCGCAGTAGCCAATTCTGAGACGGGTGAGGTGAGCAGCAAGAGTTTTATTATATATCGATATATAGGAGACAGAGGGGAATAGATTCCTCAAAAAAATCTGCCTCCCCAACTGGAGATCTGCCAAAGGCTTTTACAGGGACAGGATTATGGGTCTTAGAAGTTTGTGTTAGTTCCCCCTTGAGGCGGACATGTCCCAGATGAGTTCATCTCTTCTTGGAGGTTATCTGGCGACATCCTGGTTTTCTTGTCCCAAGATAAGTGCTTTGTTCGGTTTGTCACTCCTAGATCATTATCACCTGTTCTCCACCCTCCCAGGAGGAACATCGGTTAATCTTATACCTTTTGTAGACTGGAACCGGAAGGAAAACAGGATCATGAGGCAATGTGGGGGTTAGCAATGGGGAGTAATAATAATGGGACGGACCTATGCAGCCTCTTCCAAAGGTCCTTGTGTAGCACAGTTGGTGACTGGCGGTTTGAATCCAACCAGTGGCGCCATGGAAGAAAGCCCTGGCAATCTTCTTCTGTAAAGATTATAGCTACGAAAACCCCACAGAGCAGTTCTACTCTGTGACACATGGGGACGCCAGAATTCACCCAGTGTGAACTTTTTTTGTTGTTGTTATAATAACAACAGAAGTTGTTAGCGAGAGTAGAGTGTATATAGAATGAAAAGAGAAGAGAGGTGAGAAAGAATGGAGTCAGAGTCAACATTTGAAGGGTAGGAGTAAGAAGGAGGGGCCAGAGGAGTACGAGGAGAACCAGGTGAGAGTGGAGACCTAGAAGCCCAGAGGGAAGAAGATTCCAAGGAGGAAGTAGTTAATGGTCTCAAATACCACACACAGATTAGGTAAGATAAGGACCATTGGATTTGTTCACTAGGAGGTCACTAGTGACTTTGGAGAGCACAATTTCAGGGAAATAAACCAGCTGCCTTGGAGTCAACTCTGACTCACAGCTCACAGACTTCCTGTGTGTCAAGGTAGAACTGTGCTCCATAAGGTTTCCAATGGCTGATTTTTTCAGAAGTAGATCATCAAGCATTTTTTCCGAAGCACCTCTGGGTGGACTTGAATCTCTACCCCTGTGGTACGCAGTCGAGAGCAATAATCGTTTGCACCATCCAGGGATTTCCTTCAGGGAAGTAGGGAGGAAGAAAGTCAGACTAAGCTGGGCTGAGGAGTGAATAGGGCTGAGGCAGTAGAGATATATAAACTTAGTCTTTTCTGAGCGTTTGTTAGGAAGGAGTGTAGAGAACACGTGGCACCTGGGGACTGGGGGACATTTGATGAAGGGAAAGTTTATTCACATTGAAAGAGATAAAGTATACACACACACACACACACACCATTGCCATTGAGTCGATTGCAACTCATAATGACTCTATAACCTCTTTCAGTTTTCTTCATCTGACTTGGGGGAAGGCATTCTGCACACCTTTGCACATTCTCCACTAGGTTGCCACTGAATTCCTTCATTAATCTCTTTACTGAAGTGCTTTATTTTTTTGTTCTCAGATTCTTCCTTTGTGGGTTGCCCACATTCATTGTTAAAGGACTGGTAGAATCTCTAAGCTATCCTAAACAGCAACAGCAAAAACAAACCCATTGCCTTCGAGTTGATTCTCCAGGCATTTTTTCATGGTGCCACTGGGGGGGTTTGAACTGCCAACCTTCAGTTTAGTGTTGTTGTTGTAGGTTAGTAGTCATGTGCAAACCGTTTGTGCCACCCAGGGATCCCTCGGCCATATAAGACTACAAAAAGAACAGACTCAAGACCTAAGACATGTTTGGAGAAAAGAAATGTGAAAGTACAGCACACTGGTGTTCCCTCTCCCACCTTAATCCATTTAAATATGGTCCTATGAGTATCTGCAAGGTAGTGATGATTGCTTGAATTATTGCTAAATTTGCATCTGAAGACACTTATTACAAAGGCCAATGCCCAGTGACCTTACAAAGAGTATTCAAATCCTTCTCCCCACCGAAATCAGCTTCATCACAAACTAAATCACACCCTAGAGCAGTCTATGCTTACCCACTGGTATGGGTTGAATTGCCCCCTTCCCGCCAAAAAAGGATATGTTGAAGTCCTAACCCCTGGTACCTATGAACATGACCTTGACTGGAAATAGGGTCTTTGAAGATGTTACCAGTTAATATGAGGTCATTCCAGAGTAGGGTGAGTCCTAATCTGATCTAAGTGGTGCCCTATGAAAAGTGAAGAGACACAGAGACAGAGCAAAAAAGAATCACGTTGCAGCTGCAAGCTAAAGAATGCCTGAGGCTACCAGAAGCAGAAAGACAAGAAAGGATCTTCCCCTAGAGGCTTGGGAGAGAACATGTCCCTGTTGATACCTTAAATTCAGACTACTACCCACACCCCACACCCCACACCCCACTCCCAACTGAGACAATGAATTTCTTTTCTTATAAGCCACTCAATTGGTAGTGTAGCCCTAGGAAACTAATACACCCCTGCTATAAAACAAAGGAGCCCTGGTGGTGCAGTGGTTAAGATCTTGGCTGTTAACCAAACGGCTGGCAGTTGGAATCTACCAGCTGCTCCTTGGAAATCCTATGGGGCAGTTCTACTCTGTCCTATAGGGTCGTCATGAATCGGAATCGATCCGATGGCAAGGTTTTTGGTTTTGTTTTTTTAAATAAAACAAAAAGCAAAACACTTCATCAGCTTCCCATTGTTCTTAGCATAAAATACAAAGCACCAGGGCCTCCTACACGGTCTGGCCCCAGGCCACCCTCATCTCAGGGCCATCCTGCTCCCTAAATTCCATTTATACTTTCTGGATCCTTGAACAGGTCAAATGCTTTCCTGTTCTACCTCAGCGCTCTGCACAAGCTGGGCTTTCTGAGACCTGTAGACCCCAGCCCAACCTGAGATGCCTACTTTGATTAGCCAATCAAATGTAGGCTGTTTTGCGTGCCCCCCCCCCTTACCGCCCAACCCCACACACCTGGGGAGAAGCAATGTAGCATAGAATAGGGCCTTCAGACCGCTTGGGTTCAGCTGTGACCTTGGACGAGTTACTCAACATGTCTGTTTCTCCACCTATAATTTGGGGATAGTAAAAGATATTCTGATGATCAAATTAGTTAACAGATGGTAAGCACTTAGAACATATATTTCAATTTTATTCCACTGACTCGTTTGCCAGGTTTCGAGTCTGTCGCCAGGGAAGGCTTATGGTATCCCATCCCCCACCCCTGGCTGAGCCCAGTGTATCTACTGAACATTGTAAATGAACGAGGAACGAACGAGGAGCTTGAGGAGAGGAGGCTGGTCCACCCAGGTTTGGGAGGGGCCCCGCGAGTAAGCTTGACGAGCGAGACGTGGTCTTTGCTTCTCTATATGCCTACGATTTAGCAGAAGACAGTCCCTGAACACATATTTGACTCTGTGGTTTTAGGAAGGATCCATGGTGGCGCAGTGCTTAAAGGCTCGGCTGCTAACCAAAAGGTCTGCGAATAGCCGCCGCTCCTTGGAAACACTCTAGGGCAGTTCTACTCTGTCCTATAGGGTCCCTATGAGTCGGAATCCACTCGACCGCAACGGGTTTGGGTTTTTTTTTTTTTTCTGTTTTTTGGTTTTAGGAAAAGGAATCTCAGGGTGCTGGCCCAGTCCTGGAGTACTCCCCCCCACACCCCCCAGGGCAGTCCCCGAAGAAAGCATGTTAGCCTGAGAGAACCAAATCGACGTGGGCCAAGGCCTGGTGAGGCGCCTGAAGAATCCCACATCCCGGCTACGGAGGCTCTCAGAATGATGCTGGGCGCGGTGTCAGGTCGTCCTTCAACCACAGCAAGATCCAGAGGGCCGGGGCGGGCCGAGGACCGCGGGCAGCCAATGGCCGGGTCCGCCTTACCCCGCCCCAGCCTTCCCGCGATTGGCTGCCCGTCCACGCCCTGCCCGCGCCGCCTGCCCGGGGATTGGCTACCTGTCCACACGGCTAGCTCGCCTGGTGCCCGGGACCTTCCCGGCGCACGCCGCTGGTCTGTCTGTCTGTCTGTGGAGGTGGCGGTGAGTGTCGTTCGGTCCTGTGCTGTGGGTTGGGCGTCCAGCCGGCCGGCGGCCCTGGGTGGGGTGGGTTCGCCCCGCGTCCCCTCGGGCTTTGCCCGCCCGGAGCTCCGCTGCTCCCGGCGGCCAGAACGCAGGGGTAGAGCAGTGCTCTGCGGCCCGGGGGGCGGACGGCCCGTGCCCGTCCCGGGGCCGCACGAGGCACAGGCGCCGCGCCCAGGCCCGGAGGTTCCCGCAGGCGGCGCGGCGCGGTAACAAGGTTGCGCTTTGCTTCCCCAGGCCGGATCTGCGGCTACTTTGTGGCGGAGTCGGGGCCCGGCTTCCCCGCAGTGGCAGAAGTCGGCCCGGGCCGACCTTGGGCTCCGGGACTTGGTCGCAAACGTCTGCGAAGGTGCAGCGGCCTTAGTTCTGAGCGCAGGTACGTCCCTGTCCTTGAGCGAAGCGAAACGACCCGGCTCCGAGCACGTGGCCGATGGCGGCCGGAGGTTCCCAGGCCTGTGTTGAGTGCAAAGGCCCGAATCCTGCTTTTCCTTCAGGAAAAGGAAATTTACATACAGAGGCTCCACCCAACAGAAAGCCTGCGTCTAAAGCGTTTTAAGAGACTGAGGTCCACGGGGTCTCCTGATGAGAGGGGGAGTGCAGGAAATAGGGAAAGAGAGAACGTGTAAGAACAAATGCAGAGTCGCCCTTTCCTGTGGCCTTTTAAGGTTGCTGCAGTGCTTTAAGAGGCTAACACAGAAGGGTAAAGTAAGACTCCATAAAACCCAGAGAAGAGACTGGAGAACTCCTCTCTGGATCCTGTCTGGAGTCACAGCTGAACCAGAAGAAAGTAACTGTTTTGATGATAAGCAAAATGTTGACATTTGATGCTTTTTCTAGACTATTCTGGGATACCACATAGTATTTTCAAATAGATAAGAGAATTTAGATACTTTGCTTTTCTTTGAAGGTAGAAAAATGCAGGTTAACTGGAACACATGTACACACAAGACTTTACCTGAAAATCCTTTGAGGCAAATGGAAAGACTCTATCTCAGATTTCTTCTAGCTGTTAAAAAGTCATTTAAAAACTTTTTCTTGTTAACAGGTTGAAACTACAGGGAGAAGCCAGTCAAGCCAGATGATCTGATGCTGGTATTTTAAATGACTTATACTATCGTTCTACAGTTCCAGGAAAGAACCACTAATGAGGTCTGATTTTTCTTATGTAACTTGTAGTATTCATGTGTCCATGTACCACAATGGAATGAAAGTAGAACAATGCTTGTGGTGACCAGGGTAGTGTAACGGTTGTCTTATGTGCATTTTTCATTTAATTATTACATCTCTATGAGACATACTATCCCCCCTTTTACAAATGGAGAAACATAGAGATTAGGTGGTTACTTGCTTAATATCCCTTCACGTGTAAGTGGTGTAATATGAATAGCCCTAAACAGGAGCCTTTCAAGTGTACCCTTGGCTGTGAGACCTTGGAAAATCACTTAGCACTTGAGACTTGGTGTCCTAGTGTGAAAAAAAACAGACTAGCCCAATTTAGAGGAAGAGACTACAGTAGAGGTGTTAAAGGATATAAGGTCTTCATAGTACTTAACTGCATTAGACCTGGAGAAGTTCTGAAAAATTTGGCACGAAGGGAGCACCTCTGTCAGTGTGGTGTTTGTGATGTATGTAGTATAACACATTGCCACTGAGTGGATTCTGACTCATAGCAACTCTACAGAGTAGAACTGCTCCACAGAGTTTCCAAGGCCATAATCTTTATAAAAACAGATGGCTACATCTTTCTCCTGCGGAGCACTGGTGGTTTCATACCATCATCCTTTCCATTTAGCAGCCAAGCACTTAACCACTGCGCCACCAGGGCTCTTTGTATGTAGTATTGTTTTATATATATCCGTCACCGTCAAGTCGATTCCGACTCGTAGCAATCCTATAGGACAGAGTAGAGCCACCCCACAGGGTTTCCAAGGAGTAGCTGGTGGATTCGAACTGCCCACCTTTTGGTTAGCAGCCAAGTTCTTGTGTGTAGTATAGTGAGGTGTAAAAGTATGTAAAGGACACTGTGAAGATATTGGAGGCAATAGAAAAAGTTTTGTTATGGAAGGGAAATTAGCATTCTAGCAAGATGCACATAGGTGTAATCCATGCTAGAACAAGTTTATTCCTACTGACTAGCTGTGAATGTTTAGTGATTGGAATTTTTATATTAGCCTGTTATGTCAGTGACAAATTTCTAACTTTTCCAGAGCTTTTAAATAAAGTTATTTAATACACACCTTGGAGTCGTTTTTATGCTTACTTCATAATTGCTCTAGCCTTTCTATCTAAATGTTATTTCTTTCTATATACCAGATTATATTCTACAGTCTAGCCTCATAGAAAATTCTTTAATTTATTCAACAAGTATTTGGGTTCCTATTCTGAGCCAGACACTGCTAGATGCTGAGGGTATAGTAGTAAATAAAACAGAGAACAGTCCCTGCCTTGGAGGAATTTTCTGATGACTAGAGGACATTTATCATTCTAAATAGGGCTTGCCGTGGAAGGACTCCACATAGAAGACCTAAAGGAACTGAGAGAGGTGTCATACATAAGTGTATTTGGGGAAGAGCTTCCTGGCAGAGGAAAATCATAGAGGCCAGTGCAACTGGGAAGAAATGAGCTTAGTTGGAGGAGATTTCATGTCAGTGTGCATGCAGGGGTGAGGTGGATGGGTATTTTAGACCACTGTAAGATAACAGCTTGCTTTCTGGACTCTTGGGCCTCTGCTGTCACTTCAACCTACAACACTCCCTACCCGTACATTTTCCCACTCCTTCCTAACTCTCCTGATCTTTACCATTGCCTCCTCTCCCCATTAGTGCTCTTGATCTGGATTTCTGTAGCATCCTAATGGCCCTATAGTACTTAGACAGGCCCATTTTGCAGTTAAATGTTTACTTGCCTAACTTTAGCTCTTACCCTTTCATTCTGCAATATTAGAAGTAAAGGCCGTCTTGTTTCTCACCATATTCTTACAGTCTAGCCAACTGCCTGGCACATTGTAGTTTCTCAGTTAATTTGAATTCTAAATCACGACTATAATACAAGGAGTGGCATCATTCACAATTAAGTTTAATATCAATATTTGTTGTGTTGAATTACGTATGACATTCAAGTACTAGCTTGCTGTCACTCAACCAAACCAGTTGCCATCAAGTCAATTTTTACTTTAATGTGTCAGAACAGACCACAGTAGGTTTAAAAAGAAAAAAATTATTGTTCAGGTAGGTAGCAGATCATTTGCCATTTCTACAGTTTTCACTTGTACAGTTCAGTGACATTAATTACATTCATAATCTTCAACCATCACCATTAACCATTACCAAATTTTTCCAGTATCCTTAATCATAACGTTTGCAATAACATTTTTTCAGAAGTAGACCTCTAGGCCTGTCTTTCTGGGTGCCTCTGGGTGGACTTAAACGCTGAGTGTTAACCATTTGCACCTCTCAGGGACTCCCACCTACTCACAGTAGCACCATAATGTTAACACACTAGGTTCAAATCATATGATCTTAGGCCATTACTTAGCCACAGTTCCCTTAACTGTAAATGGATAGTTATAATAGTTAAGATTAAAACTGAGTTCCTACACGGTATATCTAACTACACAGGTAGTAAGTACTCAGTAAATGTTAGCTTATTAGTGTGCAGTATTATATGATCATTTTCATAATACTGTATGGTCATTACTAGAACAAAGTGACAACACTGGTATTTAGTATTTATTTTGTATAATACCAAAATACTGGTGTTAGTGTTCATTGAACAAATAACTGAGCACCTACTATGGGCCAAGTACTGTTGTACGCTTTGTGGGCACATCAGTGAACAAAGTGGACAAAACATACAAGTCAACTAACTTAGCTTCTACCCCCAGGTATAAAAGTACTGCCTGAGTCTAAACCACAATGTGACACACCCTTCTTATGGGATTATTTCAAACGAAATGGTCGTATCCCACCACCTCTGGCTAGTTGTTAGGTGCCATCCAGTTGGTCCCGACTCATCTTGGCCCTGTGTACAATAGAACAAAACTGGCTAGTCCTGTGCCATCCTCACAGTTGCTATGTTGAGCCCATTGTTGCAGCCACTGTGTCAATCTATCTCCTTGAGGATCTTCCTCTCTTTCACTGACCCTCTACCAAGCATGATGTCCTCCAGGGACTGGTCCCTCCTGATAACATGTCCAAAGTACATGAGACTTAAGTTTCGCCATCGTCTCTTCTAAGGAGCATTCTGGCTGTACTTCCAAGATAGATTTGTTCATTCTTCTGGCAGTCCATGGTATATTTAGTATTTTTTGCCAACACCATATTTCAAAGGCATTAATTCTTCAGTCTTCCATATCCATTGCCCAGGTTTTGCATGTATATGAGGCAACTGAAAATACCATGACTTGGGTCAGGTGCACCTTAGTCCTCAAAGTGACATCTTTGCTTTTTAACACGTTAAAGAGATCTTTTGCAATTCAGATTTGCTCAGTGCAATACTTTATTTGATTTCTTGACTGCTGCTTCCATGAGCATTGACTCTGGATCCAAATAAAGTGAAATCCTTGACAACTTCAATCTTTTTTCAGTTTATCATGATGTTGCTTATTGGTTCAGCTGTGAGGATTTTTGTTTTATGTTGAGATGTAATCCAAACTGAAGGCTATAGTCTTTGATCTTCATCAGCAAGTGCTTCAAGTCCTCTTTGCTTTCAGCAAGTAAGGTTGTGTCTTCTGCATATCCCAATTTGTTAATAAGTCTTCCTCCAATCCAGATGCCACATTCTTCATATAGGCTGGCTTCTTGGAGTATTTGCTGAGCATACAGATTGACTAAGTATGATGAATGAACACAACCCTGACCCACACCTTCCCTGATTTTAAACCACGCAGTATCCCCTGTACTGTTGAAACAACTGCCTCTTGGTCTATGTAGAGGTTTGGTATGAGCACAATTCAGTGTTTTGGAATTCTCATTCTTCACAATGTTATCCATAATTTGTTATGATCCATGCAGTCAAATGCCTTTGCATCGTCAATAAAACACAGGTAAACATCTTTCTGGTATTCTCTGTTTTCAGCCCAAGGTCCATCTGATATCAGTAATAATAGCTCTCATTCCACATCCTCTTCTGAATCCACCTTGAATTTCTGGTAGTTTCCTGTTGATGTATGGTTGCAACTGTTTTTGAATATCTTCAGCAAAATTTTACTTGCATGTGATATTAATGATATTGGATAATTTCTGCATTCTGTTGGATAACCTTTCTTTGGAATGGGCACAAATATTGATCTTTTCCAGTCGGTTAGACAGGTAGCTGTCTTCCAAATTTCTTGGCATAGATGAGTGAGTGCTTCTAGCATTGCATCCATTTGTTGAAACATCTCAATTAGTATTCTGTCAATTCATGGAGCCTTGTTTTTCTGCCAGTGCCTTCCGTGCAGCTTGGACTTCTTCCTTCAATACCATTGGCTCTTGATCATATGCTACCTCCTGAAATGGTTGAATGTCAAACAGTTCTTTTTTGGTACAGTTACTGTGTATTCCTTCCATCTTCTTTTGATGCTTTCTACATTGTTCAATATTTTGTCCATAGAATCCTTCAATATTGCTGCTCCAGGCTTAAATTTTTTCTTCAGTTTTTTTCAGCTTGAGAAATGCTGAAAAAAAGACTCCAGGTCTTTACACATTTCATCGTAATACTTTATTCCGTCTTCTCGAGCCACCCTTTGAAATCTGTTCAGCTCTTTTACTTCATCATTTCTTCCATTTGCTTTAGCTACTCTACATTCAAGGGCAAGTTTCAGAGTCTCTTCTGACATCCATTTTGGTCTTTTCTTTCTTTCCTGCCTTTTTAATGACCTTTTGCTTTCTTTGTGTATGATATCCTTGATGTCATCCCACAGCTCGCCTGGTCTTCAGTCATTAGTTTTCAGTGTTTCAAATCTGGTCTTGAGATGGCCTCTAACTTCAGGTGGGATATACTCAAGGTCGTACTTTGGCTCTCATGGACTTGTTTTAATTTTCTTCAGCTTCAGCTTGAACTTGCATATAAGCCATTGATGGTCTGTTCCACAGTCAGCCCCTGGCCTTGTTCTGACTGATGATATTGAGTTTCTCCATCGTCTCTTTCCATGGATATAGTCGATTTGA